GCTACCGCAGGACACCAGGCAGTGTTTGTTTCCTTTTGTTGTGTATAAGGTTGCTAGGAGTCAGAATCAACTAGTCAGCACCTAAAAACAACAACAATCTTCAAGGACTCACATCACGAGGTCTTCTCTCACGTGGAGCTGCTGGTGAGTTTGAACCACAGACCTTTCTGGTTAACAGCCACCAGGGTTGTGCCACCAGGGTTCCTCCTATCATTAGCCAGAACTTAGTTTAAGCTCCTAGAGATGCTGAAAAATGCAGTCTTCATTCTAAGAGGTCATGCAAGGAAGCTTCAAAAACTTTTTGGAAAAATGAAATAAGCTAATGGAGTTTTTCCACGAACTTTTTGAAGCCCTTTCTTATACTCAAGAAGAGGGGCAATATGGGGAAACCATAAGGGGGTCTTGGCCACAGACATATTATTGTATTCCTAAAACTCTATGTCTGTGTAATACTTTACTGCTTTCTAACATTTTCGTATTCTCCTAATGCCCTGTGAAATAAGTATTTAACAAAACAGTGTCTCAGAGTTACCTAAGGTTAAGTGCCTTGCCAACCAGGTGAAAAGTGCTTCCATAAAGATACTTGTAATGCTGCAGAACTTTGTTCATAAATCATTTTGTTTTTGAGTTCACAAATTTGATATTTTTTTTTTTCTCTTGGCCACATTAATCATAAAGTTCGTTATCTTTACATCCCTCCACCTGACTAGGTGAATTATTAGAAATAAATGATTTGTTATTCTGTGCAACATTTTAGACTTTACAAAAACACTTTCAGATACATGAAAAATTTTATTGCCCACCAGTATCACCATTTTTTTTTTAATGGCTAAAATAATAAAATCAACTTCATAGCAGCTGTTGTGAGGACCCAGTGAGATTCACAAATTACATGACACATAATAAATGTTTGATACATATTAGTATCATCATTAGTTCAATAATTTTTTTAATCTCATTTTCCTCCTCGCTCCCCGCAACCCCCTCCAGCACCTCGTCTTCTATTAAAATGCCAAGCCAGTTTGTGTCACAGTGAGTATTTTGCAGGAAATATTCTCTGCTTGGGGAGATTTATGAAAATGTTTTCTGTCTTGGTCCTCTCGTTAACAGCATCACAGCCACAGCTGCCAGTATTGGGGCTGCTGGGATTCCTCAGGCGGGGCTGGTCACCATGGTCATCGTGCTGACATCGGTGGGGCTGCCCACTGACGACATCACACTCATCATTGCCGTGGACTGGTTCCTGTGAGTATGCGCAGAATACCCCCTGGCATACTGTCCCAGGGCTCCTCTCTCATTCGAGGGCGCCAGGCAGCCGGATGTGCCTGCCAAACAGAACTAGGGGAAGAGGGGTGGCTTGTCTGTAATTAAATTGCCCTCATTTCCTGTTCTTTATCCCTTATCTGGAGACTGAGCCCTAGACACCATATGCACTCACTCCCCGTCAGTCCCCGGGGCACATCTGGCTGCTACACTTCTCACTCCATAAGTCATTCAGGGACTGGGAAACCTGCAAGGCCAACATAAATCAGCAAGGCCAATTCTGGGTTGCACAACACACTCCTACAGCACAGTAACTGGAATAGAATTGCAGGCCTCACACACAGGCACCCACACTTCCCCTTGGGCTTCCCATGCCAGTGGCAGAGCGTACCAAGATGTTCCCATCTGAACCCAACCATATGCATACGTCTGTAAAATGAGAGTGGCCATCGCTTCTACCTCCTAGTGGTGCAGTGGGGATTGTTGCTGTTGTTAAATTCTGTCAAATCAGTTCTGACTCAGAGTGCCTTGTGTAGGGTTTCCGGGGAGCGGCTGGTGAGTTTGAACCACCAACCTTACAGTTCAAACAGACCTTGAGGTGCTTATTTTATGGCACCGTGCCAAGACTCCTTGCTGTGAAGATTAACTACAGCGATCCATGGGAAACAGTCCACAGTCAGCCCCATACTCAACACATGTGAGCAGTTTGATACCATAAAACTGGTTTTCAGTTTCTAATCTCAGGATCTTTTACACTTAAAAATCATTATTGAGGACCCCAAAAGTTTGTATTTATGTGAGTAAGGAGCTCTGGTAGCATAGTGGTTACTAATCCGGCTGCGAACCACAAGGTCAGCAGTTCGAAATGTGAGAAAGATAAGGCTTTCTGCTCCTGTAAAGATTTACAGCCTCGGAAACCCTATACAAGGTCGCTATGAGTCGGAACCGACTCCACGGCACATCACCACCACCACCACCACATCTCCCAGTGGCATCCTAGTGTGGTGCTGCAGTATAATGTGCTGAACCACAACATCAGCTTGAACTACAGGTTGGTGGTTCAAACTCACCAGCCGCTCCTCAGAAACCCTATACAGGGTAAACCATGAGTCAGAACTGACTCGACAGTATTTAACAACAGCAACAACTTATCTCTCAATACTTACAAAATAAACATTGAGAAATTTCTTTATTGTTAAAATTCATTCAAGGATGACAATAATAAATTCATTTCATGTTAACAGAGATAATATCTTTAAGAACAATAACCATTTCTGAACCAAAAATTTAGTGAGAAGAATGGCATCACTTTTGGTTTTTTCAAATCTCCTTAGTGTCTGGCTTCATACACTTCTGCACTCAAGCCCTTGTGAATCTGGAAAACTCCACTAATAGTCATGAGAAAATGAGAGTAAAAAGGGCAAAAAACTTCTTTCTATTATTATAAAGGAGTTGTGGTGTGGCACTGTAGGATAAGCACTGGACCACAAGATCAGTTCCAACTCATAGCCACCCAGGAGCGGCTGGTGAGCTTGAACCACTGATCTTGTGGTTCAAACCTACCTTGCAGTCTAGTACATTAACCCACAGTACCTCACCAATCAGATTAGTAGCTGAATATTAACAATGTATGTATCCTTAGGAGATTTATTCAAGTTAAGGAGCTCTGGGAGCACTGTAGGATAAGCACTAGACTGCTAACCACAAAATCAGCTGTTTAAATCCACCAGCCACTCCACAGGAGAAAGATAAGACCTTTTACTCCTGTAAAGATTTATAGCCTCAGAAACCCTATACAGGGTTACTATCAGTTGGGATCGATTCAATAGCAGTGAAGTGTTTGGAGGTATTACTAAGGGCAACCAGATGTGTTACAGATTTGAACTGCTCCCCAGGATTTTCTTGGTCATAATCTTTCAGGAAACACACCAGCAGACCTATCTTCCACAGAGCCACTTGTTGTTGTTGTTGTTATGTGCCGTCGAGTCGGTTCCAACCCATAGTGACCCTGAACAGGGTTTCCGAGACTATAGATCTTTACAGGAGCAGAAAGCCTCATCTTTCTCCCACAGAGCAGCTGGTAGTGTCGAACTGCTGACCTTGCAGTTCGCAGCCCGATTCGTAACCACTATGCTACCAGAGCTTCTTTACAGAGCCACTGGGTAGGTTCAAATCATCAACATTTACGTACACAGCCAATCACAGTTCAGAGTCACCATGAATCAGCGTTGACTCAATGGGAACAGGTTTTGTTTCCTATCTTCATTCTTAAGGGTACACCGGATAGTGCAAATTGTTAATGCGTTTGATTGCTAACAGGGAAGTTGGAAGTTCAAGTCCACCCAGAGACACTGCAAAGAAAGGCCTAGCAATCTACTTGCCAAAACCCAACCACTGAAAATCCTGTGGAGCACAGTTCTATGAAAACCATATGGACACACATACATGTAGGTTTCAAAAAGTCTATGGAAAAAATCCATTCTTTTCATTCATTTTTTTCACAAACTTTTTGAAGCCCCCTCATAGGGCCTTCATGAATCTGAGTCAACTCCATGGCAACGGGTTTTATTATCAAGGTATGTGTTTGTTATGTAGTCTTGTAGTGGGCGGTTACTTCAAAGTGAATTCTCAGAGAGACTTCCAAACTCTAACCAGCCAATTCATAGCATGAGCTGAAATCACATAATGTTCACAGGAGTTTAATGCTTCCTTCCTCCCTGCCCTTCCCACAGGGACCGCCTCCGTACCACCACCAACGTGCTGGGTGATTCCCTTGGAGCTGGGATTATCGAACACTTATCACGACACGAACTGAAGAACCAAGATGTCGAAATGGGTAATTCGGTGATTGAAGAGAATGAAATGAAGAAACCATTTCAGCTGATTGCGCAGGAAAATGAAAATGAGAAGCCTTTTGACAGTGAAACCAAGATGTAAACTAACACAAAGAAATGCTCTCTGGAGTCCAGGTGTTAGAGACCATTATAATGCTTCTACCCCATTACAATTCAGTTTCTCCAGGAAGCCCCTGACCTTGATTCCCCACCTCCCTCTTGACAGTATTGGAAGTATTCATCAGAAAAAAAAAAAAAAAAGGTGGGGTGGGGGGAGATTTTTGCAGTGGCCAACTATATGACTTTTATCCCACATCTCAGAATCTTCAGTCATTTCACTTCTTACCTAATAAGATACTTGAGGTCAAAAGAGTCTTGATCAGATCTAACACGTTGACATTGCACAGTCCTGTCAATATCATGTTTGTTCTAAATTAGAGAATAAAAAAAAAAAAAAAAGTAGACCAGAACCATGTTTCTAAATCAAGCTTCAAAACTTAAAATGCCCACAGAACGAGATTCAATTTGAGTCTCAAAACTTAACAACTTGATGAGCTAAAACTGGCCATCAGCTGGCCTGTAGAAGGGTTTTTTTCCCTTTCTCTTCTGACTGTCCTTCTTGTCTCAGTAGCAGGACAATGCACATACACACCTAGTACAGTGGGAGAAGAGGAATAGGGTCAAATTTCAATGCGATCTCCAGCAAGTTGCATCTCACCTCTACGCCTCAATGTCCTCATCTGTAAAATGGTGAGTCCCCTTGACCTTTATGGTCTCTTTTAGCCCAAATAGCCTGTGACATCATGCAAAAGCCTGCCCTCCATTTCCCCTCAGGGCAGCCTGGTCCAAGTGTCATTCCTTGGAAACTAAGAAAAAGACAATGTTGTTGAGAGTGAACATTTCTAATTAGGAGTGAAAGGTCTACGTGTGGATCATGTCAGGTCAGGTCGCATGTCCAAATGTAAGTTATGCACGTTATGCCGCTAGTGGAAATTCTGTCCAATTCTTCCTAATGGGGGAAGTATGCCCTTCTTTCCAACTCTTCCAAACAAAAAGGACTGCTCTGGGAAGGAAGCCTCCCACTCAACTAGCAATACAGACTTTTACAAAATAAACATAAGACTAGCAACTATCAGGGTGCTCATGGTCTTCCTATGGAACATTAAAGACCCAGCTAGGAAAGAGGCATGCTTGAGATTACACTGAGAGGGTCTTAGGTCTTCTTTAGGAAAGAATCACTTCCTGCTTTAACCAGGAACACTTTTTCCCTTCAGTTCAAAGTCATTCCCTGAGGAAGTGTGCATATCAAAACAGGAGGTCACTTCTTCCATCTTTTAAAGGAATTAGATGAGTTCTCTATAGAGGTCCATGGGCTGGGTGGGTGGTCTCTTATGTACCATTGTCTTTTACTTGAATTTAAAGTTCTTATGATGAAAGAAACAAGGCATTTCTTTATGTTGAAACTCCATTTACCAAATGATTCTTCAGCTGGAGTGGGTTTTGTTGTTGTTGTGTTTTGCTGTGTCCCTCAATGGAATGGTAGAAGATGAATTGGCATGAAGGCATTGTCAGTGAGATGGCAAGTAAAAGATCTAAGGGAATTTGTTTCAGGCAAGGCAGCTCCCAGGTTTAGAAGAGATTAATTTTTACCCCCTGAGGGATGATCCAGTCAAAGGGATCCAGTGGGAGCTGTTAGACAACCCCAGCTGTGTTTAAATTTCTGGTGGAAAATGGTAAAGAATGGGTTCAATTATGCTAACAGACTGAAAATCTAAAAATACATCCTCAGATACACAATTAGAGATATTTTTATATAGATCCCGAGTATTTTATAAGTATAAAAGTTAACATTAGGCAGTGGTGGCGAATGCACTACAAAAGTTAATGTACATGATTGTCATTTTAGAATGTCAGTAGAGCAAAATTAATCATGGTGAATTAATTCTGTTACCCAGTGTGATCTTTTTTTTATATACTAACCATTTCTTAAAGAAACCAGGTCCTCTAGGTTTGATTCTCTCACCAACCACCACGGGCTCTGCATATACACGCATCCCCGTGTGGACTGAGAAACAATGCTTTGTAGATGTATTTTCAATAAATAAAATAAATAGTTTTACATTATATCTGTGTATGTTGTTGTTATTCATCTCACCAAAGGAAGATCAATTCTTTGTTCATGGAGCAGAGGGCAATGCTGGGGAAGGATACCACAGGGCAGAGGAGAGAGAGAGAAGGTAAAATCTTAGCAGAACTAGCAAAAAGAGTTGGCCACAAGAAAATAAGAAAAGACTGGCTCTCTCTACTCAATTCTTAGAATTGGAACTGAACATAGGAGCTGAAGGAGACACTTGGCTGCAACAATCTGCACTTATTTGTTCACAGCAGGTTCAAATTTCTCAGATAAATTGAATTATACTGATCATTTTCCACGTTGGGATTAGAAAAAGTGGAATACCACCAATGGTTCCGCCAGAAATGTTAATTTCCTGTCTATTACGTTAGGTAAATGTATCTCTGCAATTCCTATTTGCCATTTGTGAAAAGCGCTACATAAGTTCTCAAGAGATATTTCTGACACAGTCACGGTGCTAGGGGACTGCTCTCTATTTGTTAAGATAGACTTCTGGGGAACTTTTTTCCATCAAACTTTTTAATAAAAGAATTGGCAGTGGCATCATTATCATGGACTCTGTCCCCACCCATAGCAAGTGAAGTTGTGCCCAGAAGCCCTTTAATTGGATCCTCTCTGGTAGCGTAGAGGTTACGAATCAGGCTGCAAACCGCAAGGTCAGCAGTTCGAAACTACCAGCTGTGTCCCGCGGGAGAAAGATGAGGTTTTCTGCTCATATAAAGATTTACAGCCTCGGAAATCCTGGACAGGGTCACTGTGAGTTGGTTCCGAATCCACGGCAAGGTCGGTGGTTCAAGCTCATCAACTGCTCCTAGGAAACCCTATACAGGGTCGCTATGTGTCCAAACCGACTTGGCGGCACTTCACAACGACAACAACAACCTGCAGGAGTCCTGGTGTGGTGCTGTGGGTTAATGCGTCAGACTGCAAAGCCATTTGAAATAAGTTGTTAGTTCAAGCTTACCAGAGGCTCTTCTGAAACCCAATCAGGGTCGCTATGGGTCGGAACCAACTTCGACAGCACTTAACAACAACAACAACAACCTGTAGGTGGCAGCCATCTAAAGGAGAGGCTAGGTCGCCCATGTGAAGACTTCAGTGTGTGTATGTTGTCGTTAAGTACGGTTGAGTCAGTTCTGGAGAAAAGAGTTCAGCTCTTGACCTGAGGGATAAAACCAGCTCTGACCACCGGGAAAGGATCAATACCTGCACGCCTGTGGGGGATTCTGAACATTGAGAAGCAGGTGGGGAAATATCCCAAAAGATCAATGCACTGCTAAGAAGTGCTGCCTCCTCCCATCACCAGTTCCCTTCTATTTCTTTAGCCTAAGCTGGATTGGACCCAGTCCAGACTGCAAACCTGAGAAGCTGGTCCCCAAGCTGTGAGAAACTGTGGCACTCTCATGGCGGTAAAGGAACCCTGGTAGTGCAGTTGGAATGCTAACCACTAGGTCAGTAGTTCAAACTCCAGTAAAGATTTACAGCCCCAGAAGCCTTAGGAAGCACTTCTACTCATGGTGGCAGGGGCTGGTGGCCATTCCAGTTGAGTGTGACAGCTCTGTCACGGTGTGATTAGAGAACAGGGGGGTCATCATAAAACCTTGCTTGACTGCTATAGTCACAGATCTGAGTGTGGGAGGGGGAGGTTATTTTTTAATTCCGTCCCCTGAGAAGTTGAGATCCATGTCCTCCCCCTCCCATACTCATCCCTTCGCCACGTCTGTTTCCAACCCCAAGCAGGCTTCCCTTGCTCATAGTAAAATCTTCCTTTTCTATAAGCCGTTTTTCACACACATCGCATTGAAAACAGAAAAACAACTGCTGTTAATTGCAAGGATCAGGAAGAAGGTTGGAGGAAGGGCTTGTTTCCTGCTGGAGAGGGGTGGAGGGAACTGTCCTGATGGGGGTCCAAAGCACACGCCTTCATTCTGCTGCCCCCACAGAGCACTGACCAGAGGCCTCTGTCACTCAGCCTTACTCTTCTCCCACCTGGGTGGTCCCAGAACAGAGACAACAATGCTCAGCTCTGTGTGGCCTCATCTTGAGGAGTTGGAAGGTGTCATGCCACCGAGTGCAGCCTCTGAATGAATAAAAGGACAGAGAGGAAAAGAAGAGAGAAGGAAGCTATTGGGTGGCGTTTTTAAGACACAAAGTGAACAAAGAGGGTCTGAGGAAGTAATCACCACAAAGCCACCAGGGGGAGTCCGGAGCGTATCCCCAACTGGGAAACCCGAGAGGGGAGTTGAACAGTCACTTAAAATTGAGCGGAATTCCACTGCCATGAAGTCAATATCGACTCATAGTGACCCTGTAGAGGGTTTTGGGAGCAGTTGGTGGGTTTGAACTTCCAACCTTATGACTAGCAGTCCATGCTTATCCTACAATGCCATCAGAGCTCCTAAAGTTTGATAATATATGTTAAATGATTGCATAAATTTATTAGAAAATAAATCATGTGTGTGTCTCAAACTACCACCGTTAACTTATCATACAGTAGCGGTGGCTTGCATGCCATCAGTATTTCAAATACCAGTATGGCCCTTCCAAGGTGGACAGGTTTCAGTGAAGCTTCCAAACTAAGACGAGGAATAAAGACCTGGGAATATCCTTCTGAAAACTAGCCAATGAAAACTCAATGGATCACAACAAAATACTATGTGATATAACACAGCTTTCAGTATGGATTGCATCTCAATGTAAAAAAAAAAAACAAAAATCCTCACCACTGGACCAATAAACAACATTCTTATCAATGAAGAAAAGATTGAAGTTGTCAAGGACTTCATTCTTCTTGGATCAACTATCAACACTCATGGAAGCAGCAGTCAAGAAATCAAACG